TGTGTTTTGCACATCTTTTTATGTCCGCCAATATGTGCTCGGACCAGCTGTTCTTCGTAGACATCGATGAAAATTGAGATTCAGGAATATTGTTGTCTACATGCCGAATTTGCACATGGAAAGCTACGTTTGCAATTTTTTATTTTGTTTTTTTTTTGTTTCATTTACTACATGGTTGACCGTATAATACATCCAACCAAACTAGGCTAAAAAGCTAATAATTTTCTTTCAAACTAATTGGTATTACAGCGGAGGAAAAACAAGATCAAGCAAGAATGAAACGAATTAATCCTTTCTTTGAGAAGCTCCCGTATCTGGAAAAAACCGCATTTGGTCTAGCCATCCTGTTCGATCCTCGACGTTACATCAAGGAGATTGTCTTCACAGAGGATTGTGGAATTCCATGCATGGGATTGGATGAGGGAGAAAAAATTGTGTTAGACTATTTGATTAAGGGAAGATCATATGCCACCACAGGTACAAGATTTAACATGGTGTATTGTATTTTAATCCAACATATGTGCTACACTTCAAGGGTCACAGTAAATCCATAAAAATGGATATGGACATTCATATATTTATATTTAAAGCTGGTTGACTTAGTTTAAGTCTCATTCTTTAGGTATATAAAAAATACAGCATAAGATCATAATTAGGCCTCTATAGTGGGAACGTTTAAGAACTATAAAACTATTTAGCTTAGGTCTCCTGCTGTAATAATACTGACCAATAAACGAAGACAGTTACTGGACTGTCGGTAATAGATCTAACCAGTAACAATAAAGTTTAGTATGTGCCATTATAGGTAGTGCCAATAATAACAAAATTTTGGATGCAACTACTTCAAAAGTATAAGGAGAATTTCGACGTTTTGAGCGAAGGTCCTTTATTCACTTGTTCTGATCTTGAATGCAAAATGATTTTGTAATGTGCTTATTTCAGGAATTTGGGATCTATTCGACTATGACTATCACTCTTTGCCATACAAGATTTTTAATCAGTCAGACCAGGACGAAATATGTTATGACATTGGTGATGACATGGAATTGGTCTTTACGTTTCTGCCAATCAAGAAAAAGAATGCTAACCTGGTTTGGAGGTGGGAAGATTACTTAAAATTCACTTCACCTTTAATTACATTAATATAGTATTTATCATTTATAGACCTGGAGCAAGGGGGATTCGGCGAAATATTACCCGAAGTGATGATATTTCCCAAGGGGCTTTGCCCCGAGGAAAATATCATCAATGAGGGTAATATTTCGCCGAATTCCCCGAGCAGAGGGTCTATAAATGATATATTATACCGAAAATTAAAAGCCTCCAAGTTGAGAAGTAAAAACTACTTGACACATACCTTCGTGAATACGATGTTTTATTTTCGGATTGACGCAAGTATCGTCGCTTTTCTTTCGAATCACATTTCGTTTGGAATATTAATGACAACATTTTTCAAAATTTACTTCAAAATTTTGAAAAAGCCCCAGGTTTTACATCATTTACCCAGATTATTCATCACTCATCAATACTATTTATATTTTGTCGGCCATGTTGTTGTCATGCGTGTTGTCTCGCGTGGTCTACGCGAATAATGTTTCACTCCATGTTCCCCGGGGAACATGGGGTGGAACATTGTCAAAAAGAACGCAGGCTCGCTAATTGATGACGTAAGGCGTGATATCGCGATTAATTTCATGCTCACGTGGCACAAACTAAGCTTCCTGATTGGACAATTTGAATTTGAGGTATAATATTATAATATAACTGGGATTTCACAGACAACTTGATTGGCTAATGTGCGTGCATTGTGACGCGATAATGCAGTGTTTTCTGTGGCACTGCCTTGCTCTTTCTCGGCGTTTTCCCCGCTTCATCTCTGTTTTTTAGCCAAAGATATAAACAAACCTGTGGAGCTTTTAAAATAAAAAATGTATCAAAAAGCAGGAAGAACCACATGAACAAGGCAATATTATCTATCAGGGGATAGATGCCCCCAAATTTTCAGAAGACACAAAAAGTGCTCTCTTTATGGTGGCAAAGTGCTCTTTGCCTTCGTGGAAAATGTTCAGAAAATAATCTGCAATTCTTGAGAAAAGTGTCCTTCAAAAAGTTAATGTCCATGAAACAAATCCGATTCAACAAATAAATAGCACATACAGGGTGAGTAAAACAACCTGATACCTTTGCGGCTAATTTGAATAACAAAGGTGTCAGTTTTTTTTACTCACCCTGTACATTGAAATGCTAGTAAGCAGTAGAATTATGCAAATTATATAGTGTTTGCAGGTATTGTGATATACCCTGCATTGCATGGTTTCTTAAGAACGGAGCAACAACATATTATATTGATATATTGCGTGGTTTCGTAAAAACAGAGCAACAACATATTATATTGATATATTGCGTGGTTTCTTAAGAACGGAGCAACAGCATATTGTGCTGATAAATTGCGCGCTTTCTTTAAGAACGGAGCAACAATATATTATTGATTGATTGATTGATTGATTTTAATAATTACCACATTGTAAATTAATAAAAATTTAAAAAACGTGATATTACATAGATAGTATTAAAATTTTTAAATTTGCAAAAAGTTCAATTTAAAACTACTATAATATAAACTACATTAATGATATGTACTATAAAATATTTTGTTATGTCTATGGTCGGTCCCAGTTTCTAACACACTTTGGGATAAAACTGTTCTTATATCGTTCAGTTTTGCACTTATACATAGGATAAGTGCGTTTATTTCTTAGACTGAATTTGTGATATATAGCACTGGGAAGTAGCGTTCTCAACTTATCGTCTGAGTGTTGATGGATATTCTTATAGAATGACAAGCACTGATTCTCTCTTCGCTGGTAAAGTGTAAGAAGGCCAGTGTTTCTTAGTGAGGTAGTATAGGAGGACTGGGGGAAAGCGATTTTCAATGCACGTTTTTGTATACTCTCGATTTGATCAGCGAGGAATTGAGGGAGAGAAAAATGCCATACAGGTGAGGCGTATTCCAAAACTGGACGAATAAATGCACAAAAGACCGTTATTAAATCATTGGCTGGGGCACCAGATCGTTTGAGGATCCTTAGAGCATAAAGACGTTTACTTGCTTTGGTGCAGATTTAATCAATGTGCGCATTCCAGGTAAGATCCGATGATATTATCACTCTCAGAAGTTTGAAGGTCTGGACGATTTCTATGTTTAAACCAGATGACGAGAGGGCATCGAATACCATAGGGACTCTAAGAAAGGATATACGCAGTTCTTTGGTTTTAGATACATTAAGCCGCATGTTGTTGTGATTGGTTCAGTCATTTATAGTGTTTATATTAGCTTGAAGCAATGAAGTAGGGGACGATCTTGAAACGATTTCGTATGTGGAGCAGTCATCAACATATTTGTACATTGGAGTGTTGGTTTGCAAGTCATTTATCATCACAAGGAAGAAGAGGGGTCCAAGTTTTGTACCTTGTGGAACCCCTGCATTTATTTGTCGCCATGTTGATTTATTCTGGCCAAGCTTGACACGTAAATATCGGTCATGCAGGAACTCAGCGCACCAATTCAACAAGATAGGAGGGATGTTGAGTTGTTGTAATTTATGAAGTAAAATATTGTGATCGATGCGATGAAAGGCTTTCGAAAAGTCAATCATACAACATCTGATAGTTGAACCAGGGTTTTCTAATTCGGCTAGCCAGTTATGGATTATGTGGATAAGAGCGTGTGTGGTGGAGCAATTTTTCATATTTCCGAACTGGAGCGGGTCGATTGATGGTTTAATATAACCAAAAAGCCAGCGAAAAACAAAGCTTTCCAATAATTTACTCAGCACCGGTGTGAGAGAAATAGGTCTTAGGTCGCTATCAACTGATTTGGGATTAGATATTTTTGGCGCTGGGATAACGTCTGCTGATTTCCAGAGTGTCGGGATGCAACCTTGTGCAATGCTGGCATTGAAAATGGAACATATTGGACCAGCGAACAACGGTGCAGCTGATTTCAATACCCAGTTGGGGATATCGTCGGGGCCAATTGCTTTCTGAAGACTGATCTTTTCCAATTCGATTTCAACTTGTTGGGTTGATATTATGTACTCATCAGGAATAGATGTAATGTGAAGCTTATTGAAGCAGAGTGGGGCCAATTCGTTTGAAACAGCACAAGCAACTCATCTATTGCGTGGTTTCTTAAGAACGGAGCAACAATATATTATACTGATAAATTGCGTAGTTTGTTAAGAACGGAGCAACAACATATTATATTGATATATAGCGTGGTTTCTTAAGAACGGAGCAACAACATATTATGCAGGTAAATGGCGTGGTTTCTTTAAGAACGGAGCAACAATATATATTACTGATATTGTTTGCGTGGTTTCTTAAGAACGGAGCAACAATATTACTGATATTGATATATTGCGTGGTTTTTTAAGAACGGAGAGACAACATTATATTGATACAGTATATATGCGTGGTTTCGTAAGAACAAAGCAACAGCATATTATATTGATAAACTGCAAACAGCATATTTTAATGTTTGATGTTATTATAGGTTCACGATCTGTAAATCATTTTCACGAACCGTACGCTTCGTACGGTCCGTAAAGCCATTTTCACAGTTCGTACGGACCGTACGGATTTGTCGGATCGTGAATCGTGTTACGAGCCGTACGAACGGTACGATCCGTCGAACTGTTGGTAGATCTGGGCAACAAGCATCTTCTATTGGAGACCACCTATTGCGTTTACGAGTTGATACGGATCGTGACTCGTGTTTACCGTCCGTACGAATTTGACGGATCGTGAAGCTGCTTCGCGATCCGTATCATGTCGACAGTATTGGACATGTATGAACTTTTGGTTAAAATTAGCGCACTAAAAATAGTCCAAAAATTTGCATAGAATATTATATGCGATGACTCCAGTCCTGATAAATGCCCTTAAATAAAGAACTGCGCCGTTGTTATCTCGTTATTGGTCAATTAGCCTTTCTCACTGTCGATTTTTCTGCTATTTTGTGGGTACTGCCTCTCCCACGTTTGAGAGTTTCCGCACCACGAAAACTCTCAAGAGCTAAATAACAGGGTGCGATAATTCAATATTTTTAGCCCTACATGACTGGTACTCCGACAACTTTTGCCGCGTACCTGATCTGGTACAAACTTAAGAGTCAAGACGTACCTAAGTCTACTTCCGAATTATGCGTTTTTATACCTACGTATAGTTTACTGGCCAAAAGCAAAAAATGTATGGGCAATATTGTACAAATGAATCTTTAATTATGGTATTTGTACAACATAATATACTGACAGTTTTCAAGGCGTCGACGGCGTGACTCGAATGCCATTGCTCATTTACAGTGGATTTACCGAGGGTGCTAACAGTCTGACCTCAGCTACATACAGTGTAGTTTTCCTCATTGCCTAAAAGCCTCATTGCCTCAGAGCCTAAAAAAACCTGTGATTCCGGTTTCATATCGCAAAAAAATAGGGTAGGTAGGTCGGAAATAAATTTTTTTTTGAATATTGTTTTCATGGTTTTGGCGGGTTTTTTTTTGCTGGGCGATTTTCAGTAGAGTCCCGACATCAATATTATTGCGACAACAGACCCCATTTTGGCACGCTGTGCGAGCAGCATAGATATCTCATATACACTAGATAGCGCATCCCACCCTGTAGGCAGGCGAAAATTGAAGCCTGATCGCAGTCGCAGTTTACATGCGGCGGCCATATTGGTCGTTCCCACGGAGCGTGATAATTTGTATAATTTGTATTTCGGAAATGGACTAAGTTGACAATAAATCCTCTTTTATGCAGTCAATTTTGGTTTTTCAAGTGTGCAACTTGTTGTAAATGATGCCAGATCGTTGGAGATTCGTATTGTGAATAACAGGTAGGCAAAATTTAATTATTTTTTTCGAAAATATCAATATTTGTCGACCCGTATGAAGGTCGCCCATAGGACAAACCCTATAGACAAACCATCATTGTTGATGCATATTTATATATAAATATAGTTCCACCAATTCCAGATAAAACATTTTGAGCTATCGTCATTGCTTCATGGCAAAATTGTGAATGTATTTGTATTTTCTTTTGTAAAAGACAGCAACATTGAAAAACATATTTTAGTCACAGTTTATCAGTGGCAAATAGACTTAAAATCTTAAATGGTCAATATATAAAACATTGACACCAAAAATGGTTCTTACTCCTTAGTATTTGTATATTTATTACATACAACATATCATATGTTATTTTATAGTTCCATGGAGTCACATCAAGATTAAAATGTATTAGAAGCTAGAGAAGAATAATTGCAACTTTAACAATATATTCGCAGGCAATATAACATAATTGCTATTGCTTTATGTAAATGTAGTTGATAATCAAACTTTCTAAAACCTTCAATTGTATGAATGCTTCCAACTATCTTTACTGTTGTTCCAATTGAAGTGTTCCTCAAATATTGATTCAATACATTACCTCAGGCTGACCAATTCATTTCATCAAGTTCCTCGAGATATTCATACACTTCCTGTGAAAGAGCCAATTCCAAGTATTGATCGTTTCTGGTCACTTCCTTTCTATTTATGATTGGTTAGTTGCACAAACAACAAAGGTGATTGGTGCATTCAAACTATTCAACAGGAAGTTTACAATTATACTAGGAAGTGTATGAATATCTCGAGGAACTTGATCAAATGAATTGGTCAGCCCGAGGTAATGTATTGAAGCAACACTTCAATTGGAACGACAGTAAGCTCCCTAATATGTTTCATCCTGATCGCACATCAGCCTCTATTTTTTCCTAAGACGGGGTGTTATTTTAGATAAGGAACATTTATTTGAGAGGAGTGTTTATTCCTTCCTATGGCAGTTTTACGTTAAAAATAAACAACACTTTGCGACGGTTTGCACTTTCATTGATCTATACATTGCCCATTTCAATCTTATAAACGCTCCTATTAGATAAGACGCCTTTAAATTAATATGGAGGGCTATTTATTTACTTTTTATTACTACAAAAAGTGGTTTGACTAATGATTCAAAACTTGGGGCTTTCATTAAAGACTGGACGTTTATTAGGTAATATACGGTAGCTTATGACGTTATTAATTTAAGTTCAAATATAATTTAATGCATCGTTCAATTC